GCGCCCCGGCACGGCGGCACCCGTCCCCGCCGCCGGCTGCGCGCGGCCCGGCCCGGCCGGCGATGAGCGCTTCCTGCCCGGCATGCACAGCGCCGAAACCCGCCCGGCGCGGAGCGGTGCCGAGGGTCTGCGAACGGCGCGGTGCTCCGCCCGCCGCCCCTCCCGGCTCTGGCTCCCGCACGGAGGTTCCCAGGGCGCGCCGCCCTAACGTGAATCCGCGGGCTGCTCCCTCTGAAACGGCGGCTCCGCTGACGGCGTGTGCGTGGCGGCGAGGTACGGCCGCACGCGGAGCGCTGCCCGCGGCCCCTCCGCGCCTGCGGCTGCTGGCTCGCGGCGGGGTGCGACCCACGGCCACGCACCGTCTGCCTCGGTTCGAGAGCGGTGGCCTCGTGCCGAGGCGCTGCACGGCGCTATGCTTATACGGCCTGATGCTTCCTCCCGTCCGACAGCGGCTGCGGCGTGGGGCTGCCCCGAGCCAGGTGCCGGCAGCGCGGCCCCTCACGGCTGAGACGGGCTGCCGGCACGGGCAGGGCGGCGAGGCCTCGCAGAGGTCACCGTGAGCGCACCCAGATGCTGAACGTCCCCCAGAAGTTCCCACCCGAGGCCGTGTTTTGTACCGAGCTCAGGGCAACGTGTGCAGATGGTGGTTCGGCACTGGGGCGATGCATGAGGGAGGAGGAGGAAACGGGATGGTGGCCGAGCAGCTTGCAGGGCTGGGGATGGCTGCGCTGCATAGCGTGTTGTGCAGCTCTTCCCTAGCAAGTAATGAGAAAATGTTTGCAGTGCCCGAAAGTGCTGTACGCTGCATTCATACTGCTTATTTCTTTTGATATTTTCCTCTTAAAAGTCTGCTTCTGATTTTCCTCTTTTCATGTTGGCTCGTAACTCCAGAAACAATGATGTCATTCTTGCACACGACGCTCGGCAGCATCCAGAAGCATGGCATAAACTTAATTTAAAGGCCTGAGATTTATATTATGATTTGAGAGATAGAGACACACACGTGAGGTTTATATACATGGTTGGGCTGCACACTGCAGCATGAAAAGCAGAGCACTGCAACGTGTTTGCCCATGGCTGTAGCATACATACCTAGAAGTAATGGAACTCGGAAAAAATCACCTATTGATTTCAATTATATGAGTTACTTATTGTTAATGAGTTGTTTTAACTCTAAGCTATAAACTATTTAAGGTTTTTTTTTCTTAGTTGCGTGGATGGAGATATTCCAGTGGGTTTGGTAACTGGCTGGTATTGGTGGTAAGCACAGTGCCTATTAGTTTGTGGGAGAACACACTCAGATACAGTCTGTGAAAGACAAATAGACCATGGAGAAGCACACGGGGAGACAGCCAAAAATCTACTGTTTCCTTTGTGGCAGCACCTTCCTCCTATGAGTGGGAAGGGCTCACGTCCTTCCTGCACTGCTCACTGAGGCACAAGATGTCCTGCCTACAAGATGCTGCAAATCCACTGCTCTGGGAGTGACACTGAAATGCTGTGGAGTCCCCCCTGCTCACTCTGTGTACTGCTCTGAAATGCCATATTTCCAAGCTGCTTACAGGCATGACTCACCTAAGATGATCACTGAAGCAAATACTTAATTCAATCCCCGCTTTTACTCAGGCGAAGTCCCACTGAAGACAATGACAGTAGTTCTGTGCTGCACAGGGAGTTAAGCACCGAGCACTGCAGCAGCCTTCGTTTAGAGCAGCATGTTTCTTAGAGCTGGGAAGGTCAGAGTGCAAGTAAAATGGTGAGATCTACTCTTTCCTTGGCCCTTCTGCTGCAAATCACTGTGCAAAAAGGTGAGAACTGCAGAAAACTTCAATTTGTGACTGTCCCCTCTGCTGCTTATCCCTGCGTTCACCCAGACCACGTGCCCAGCTATCACCCCTCTCCACACACTATATCTTCCTCCTGCAGGCCAGACCCCAGCGGACATCTCCAGGTCTCCCCTGGGATTCATCACAGCGTTGTCAGAGCAGCCCCAGGAGCAGAGCTCTGCTTCCCACGGGGTCAGCAGTGACAATCTGCAGTCACTGAGACACCCCAAACCTCAGTGTTTATGGAGAATGAAACCATTGTACAGTTTGTATTTTCATCTGTAGCCAGTGGACTGGAAAGACACATTTCAGCTTTCCTCTCTCTGCATTCTTCTAGGCAGATGTGAACAGGAGCTTGCCCTTAGCCCACTGAAAGAGTTCTTTGACCCCTTGTCTGCTGTACTGAAGCTTGCATGAACCCTGGCATAACTGACTGAAGGTCACTGTCCACTTCTATCTGCATTGACGCAGACTGGGGCTTTGGAGTGGTTGGAGAAGTAAACTATATCTTAGGTGCTAGAAAAGATTAAATCCCAGCATGGACTCCTGATGTTTTATTTTGATTTTCAGTACGGTTTCCTTTATTCTGTGCTTGATGCCAGACCGAAGACTGATTTTAGTGATGTTTCCAATTGCTTGTTTATACTAATGTCATACTGAGATATCCAGTGACTAACCACTGTGGATCTTTGCCAGACAGCAGAATCTCTCCTAGTGGAAGCAGGAACAGGCATTCTGGGAGGAATATAGGGATGCTGCTGGGCTGTGTAGGGATGGGATCAGAAAGGCCAATGCCCAGCTGGAACTGGACTTAAGCAAAGAAGAACAAGAAAGGCTTCTATGGGTACATCAGCCAGAAGAGGAAAGTTCAGGAGGGCGTACTTTCTGCAGTGCACAATGTAACCAGGCTGGTAACAATGGACAAGGAGGAGGTTTAGGATCAACAACTTCTTTGCTTCAATTTTCACTGATCACTGCTTTATACATAGCCCTGAGCAAAATGGTTCAGAAGGTGAGAACTGGGGGAGCAATGCCCCTTCCACTGCAAGCAAAGGTCAGGTTCTCTGACATCTGAGGAGTTTGTAAGTCTATGGTCCCGATGAGATGCATCCCAGAGTCCTGATGGAATTGGCTCAGTGATATCTGAAGAGTAATGCAGGCAGGTGAAGTTCCTGATGGCTGGAAAAAGGGCAATGTCGCACCTGTTTTTAACAAGGATAGAAAGGACAACCTGGGGAGCTGCTGACCTGTCAGCCTCACCTCTGTGCTAGGGAAGAACATGGAACAGATCCTCCTGAAAGCTATGCCAAGGAACATGGAGGAGAGGGGTCTTTGTTTCAGCTGGGATGGAATTGTTTTCCTCAGTGTGCCTGGTATGATGCTGTTTTGGTTCTAGGAGAGAAACAATGTTGGTAACACACTGATGTTTACAGCTGCTGCCAAGCAGTGTTGTGCAGAGCCAAGGCTGTTCTCAGCAAAGGGCCCAAGGAGCTGGGAGGGAACAGAGCGAGGACAGCTGACTTAAACTGGCCAAAGGGACATTCCATACCCTGTGACATCATGCAAAAGGCATTTTGAAGGGACTGGGAGTTCATCTTGCTCTTTTCTGCTGCTCAGGGGCTAGCAAGCCACTGGCTGGGGAGAAGAGATCAGCTACTTGTGCATCACTTGCTATGTATATTCATATATATATATATGTCATAATTATAATCTTTTTCATTACCTCAGTAACAAGTTTTATCCCAACCCATGAGTTGTACTTTGTTTTTTTCCCCTGATTTTCTCCACCTGCCAAGTTAAACCACAAAAGGGAGGTGATGTGGGATAAACAGCAGGGCTTCTCCAAGGGCAGGTCCTGCCTGACAGGAGGAGTCAGGGTCCTGCCCCTCTGCTCTGTGCTGTGAGGCCTCACCTGGAGCACTGTGTCCAGATGTGGAGTCCTCAGCACAAGAGAGACATGGAGCTGTTGGAGCACAGCCAGAGGAGGGCCACAGAAATGATGCCAGGGATGGAACAGCTCTCCTACAGGACAGGCTGGGAGAGCTGGGGCTGAGCAGATGGAGAAGAGAAGGCAGGGGGAGAGCTGAGGGCAGCCTGTCAGTATCTAAAGGGGAGCGACAGGAAAGAAGGGGACAGACTCTTTAGCAGGGTCTGTGGTGACAGGACAAGGGGAAATAGTTTCATAAAAGAGGAAAGACTTAGATTGGATATAAGGAAGAAGTTTTTTACAATAAGTGGTGAGGCACTGGCACAGGTTGCCAAGAGAAGTGGTGGTGGCCCTGTCCTGGAGATATTCAAGGTCAGGCTGGATGTGGCTCTGAGCACCTGAGTGAGCTGTAGGTGTTCCTGTTCACTGCAGGGAAGTTGAACTAGATGGCCCTTTAAGGTCCCTTCCAACTCAAAAGAATCTAATTCTAATACAAGCAAATACAAAAGCTGTGTTTGACGTTTGAGAGGAATCCAACTGATCTAGGACTATAAACTCCACTGATTTGCAGTGATTTTTACATTCCTGTGTCACTTCAGGTACACCTGAAAGGTCTGTTTTGTACATTTCCTCACAGTAGTTCATATTTGAGAAGGCATTAACTTTGCATTCACACTTTAGAAGAAATGAAGCTGATGTCAGTCTTAAACTAGTTAAGTCACTTTCCTGGTCAAAAGGAACACAGACAGATAAGCCACCTCTCATGATTTCTTCTAGGAGTGAGATAGAAAGATGAGAGCTCTTCTTACAGACAACATTTTGCAAGTGCAATTGAAACGTATTTTATCACTGCTTGCTGCTCTCTGCTACACGCCT